TGTTCATACAGGATAATACCGATAACACTCTGTTTAGCATTTCATTCTCACACTGAACCGCATTTTGTACGTTTCGCCACACTCTGGTGGTCTATTCGAAATTAAGTTCGTTTTCCTTAAGGAAATACAAAACATCTTCTATTTTTCAAGTTCTTCTTTGTGTCTTAAGGCGTGTCTCTCACATCGAACAGCATTTTGTACGTTTCGATACACTCTGGTGATCTATTCAAAGATAAGCTCGGCGCCCATGAGGAAATACAATACATCTCCTATTTTTCAAAATGAAAGAAAGATGGAAGAAAGAAGGGAGGATTTAAGTGGAGAGAGATAATCAGATTAAACTGATAAGAACAGATACTACATTCTCATCTCAACCAAAAGGCCGAGTAGCGAGGTATTTATCTGGTACTCCCCCACTATTGGGTTTAGGATGCGATACAAAGTCAGTTTGTTTAACGTGAGGAACCAGAGCGTTTCCACTCGGGTCATTGTCAAAATTTAATCAAACCCCGCTTACACGAGTTCGGAAAGAAAAGTGGTCTTAGCTAGTCATTGCATCTCAGGCCAAAAGGCCGAGTTACGATGGCCATCGCAATATAAGCGGCATTTTTTCAGACGCACAGTATTGAACGACGGAAACCGAGTTGGGCAATCGCCAAAAATCCAATTATTACCATAAATTAAATAAAATAACGCCTGCCAAATTATTTTAAAATTATTATTAAGAGAAATGTTCGTAAGACGGAAATTTGGTTAAAAAGAATAAAAGAAAGAAATAAACAAAGATAAAAGTTTAACGTCTCGAGAAAAATCAGCTTTCATACAAAGTACAGACCTGTACACATCTCTGGTAGTCTCCATTCTCCTATATGGATGTGAAAATTGGACACTGTTGGCAGAAACAGAGAGAAGAATCCAAGCGTTTGAGGACAAATGCATAAGCCTCCTTGGCATTTTCTACTGGGAACAAAAAAAAATAATGAGGTTTTGCGGAAAAGGTTTGAAAGTTTTATGGGACACCAGAAACCTCTTCTCACCACTGTCAAACGGAGAAAATGGCATGGTTTGGATACATTACACGGCTCGACAGCCTGTGCAAGACCATCATGCAAGGCATCATTGAAGGTGGGCGTAGGAGAGGATGCCAGCGTAAAAACTGGTTGGACAATGTCAAACAATGGCCAAGTATGACTATACCAGAATTGCTGATGGCTACCGTTGATAGACAGTTGTGGAGGAGATTCATCGTGGCTTCTGCATTCGGATCCCCTCCTACGATTACAAAAGTCAAGGGGATGATGATGATGATGATGATGATGCCAATACATCATAAATAATCGACAGATTTCGTTTTGATCGCGTGGAAGAGAAGGGAAAAGACACGATTTGATTTCAGTGAAAAAAATAAAAGAAAAAAAGAATGAAAGATAGAATTGTTTGATGGCTGCTTCAGTAAAATGGGAAAAAAGTTTTCAAATCTTTACATTTCAAACTACTTATTAAAATAACGACAAGCATTCATATTTATGTTGACTTTCTAAGCGTAAATTAGATGTGACACAATGCCGAAAGTGTGGGGCTGTTGTATCCTTACAGAGGTTACAAACAGATAAAGGTGGTATTCAAGTGTAGGAAGAGCAATACGCGCGTAGATGAAAGCAGAGTTTATTGTTAAAGAGTATACACTACTGAAAGACAGGGGATCGGGTGGCAGGCTAGTAATTTCCGAAACAGGGCCCCAGGTATATCCTGTGTTCACTATATATAGATACTGGTATAGTCAGTAGCTATATATAGGGAGTATGGGACATTCCATTACAACAGAGGCATCCAGTGAGGAACGAACTCACTATTCAGTCGTAATTGTTCTCACGGGACAAGCTCACTAACCATTACAACATGTCGAAGTGCTCCCAGCATTCATATTCATGATTGTTATTTCAATATTTCCCTAAAGTTGCTAAGCTCAAATGTTTAACTTTGCGATAGGAGAATTTCTACGAATATTCTATTGTCGTAGAACTAGCCGTGAGTTTATTCTATCGCTAACTTAAGAGTTAAAAATTAACATTCAACAGATAACTTAAATACAAAAACCATGATACCTTCCCGGGTCTTTCTAGTATTAATGATTCGAACTTGGAAATTTGAAAATATCAGGTGTGAAATACATTGAACAGCTTTATTTTTTTATTGTAATTAACTGTAGAAAATTGTAAATGTATATCAAAATGTTAACGACTGGTAAATCAAAGTTAATCGATGATCAGTTTTACTGAAAGCTACGAAAATAACCTCTGAAGATCTGATTCGATATCTGATTTCATTCTGCCTAATTTACTTTAGTTCTCTGAAAAGCAACATTTATTTTTACGAAACAAATAATTTGATCCAATAAAGGTAAAGATTTGCTCATTATCCGGAGCCACAGGTTTTAAAGAAGCGTTCTTTGGTTAAAAGAGTTCATTCTTCCAATTATGAAAGCAATTAGTATCTTAAAAAATCGTGAATACGTCATGAACAGTGTGATTAAATTCTTTCTGAGAGGAATTTTTAAAAATTCCAGATTAGACTCAATGGCACTTCAGAAATATTTGATGATATTTCAAAATGATCAATACCAAAAGGAAAAAGTAAAGATCACTTAATTTTTGTTCAATTAGCGTTTTTACTTCAGTTGAAATGATCCAATTTAAATCTCTAATTGTCTTCATTTGACACCGTTAACAGGTTATGTTAATCGTCTTTGGTTTTTCGTCTTCTCAAAGAATAATTACTGTCACTTTTCCATTCGGTTCGCATTGATCACTTCTTGTAGCCGATTCAATCAAACAATTTCAGGAGTTGGATTTGCCGGTTTGGCAAACTTGATTAATTACAACACTAGGAATCGAAAGACCTGATATTATATTATAATTAGTGGACTCTTTGCGACAAATTAAAAGCAAATCCAAGGAGACATCGATTTTAAAATCGTAGAAAGCTTTTCCAGACGCCATCAAGAAACTTAAATAAACAACCCCCTGACCTACTGACTTCAAGTGCATATTGTTTGAATCGTTTGCCAGATTTAAAGCAACGTATGTTTTGAAATATTTCAAGCTTTTATGCGAAACAATGATTTTAATCAAAGCACACCCTCATTGATTCGATGTTTTTAGTATATAAGACGATTGACTTTCCCTGTTGGCGAGGATCAGAATACGCCGAATGCATCCTTTAGAACAGAGATCAGCAAACTTTTGGAAAGACAGTTATGCAGTGTTTCGGAGGAGGTTCATGATATCAAATGTACAATAATAGATTGTCGCAGACCGCTCCGTCCAGAATGCTGCTTAGGTCTGGATGTTTAAATAAAAAACACCGAAGTTAATGCTAATTATAATTCAAACAAGGTTCCTTATTTTACTGCAAAAATAACTGTAACAGCTAACACAGGCAACAAAAAATGCAAATTCCTTATTACGGTGAAGTTGACGGGCCGGGTGTTACCAATCCCTGCTTTAGAGAGAGGTAAGACCTCTACGAAAGGAACCACTTTCTGCGGGAATACTTGCAGACACAGGTATAAACACGACCAATATCAAACCGGATCTGTATCTACTTTTAGACCCAAGCAAAAATCGGATCTACCTTTAAATTAATTCTTTGTGATGTTTGATTACAAAAGATTTACAGTTGATATTGAATAACATAACAACTGCTGATACGTTGTTAAATTAGCTAAGATATTTTTCTGTTAAAGTTCACCCAATACAATGCACAAGAGCTACTCAAGAGGGTTACTGGATGAGATGTATGATATGAAAAAAAAAAAAAAAAAAAACCGACGTTAAAAAATTTTATATTGGTAGAACAAAAAAACTATATCAGCATATTTCTTCATTTAACAATAATGCGTACCGTAACCAAACTTCCCTCTCAAAATATTTTTGGTACGTAAAAGAAATCAAAATCACTACAGTTAAATGGAAAATATTAAGAAAAACGAAAATTTGTAAGTCCTTAATTGACCCACGTCCCTTGTGTCTACATGAAAAGTTGCATATTATTAAATTTCCTAAAAATAATGATCTCTTAAATTAGCGTAATGAAGGAACAGTATTTTGTAGGCATTGTATAATGTTTACGTTATAAATATTGTTAATAGAATTTTCTAAAAAAAAACTGTATAAGAATTATTGTATTTTGAGTTCAAAATAATATTGATATTAAAATTATTTAATTATACTTTAATTATAAATGCCCCTTTAAGACAGTTCTCAAGTATAGAAAAACGTGTTACGTTTTCTTGTGGATTTAAATGTGTATTCATAGAGCTGTGTTTCGAGTGATGTAAGGTCGAGACATTTTGTTAACTTAGTAGTAGTGTGTTCGATATAATTGTTCAAGAATTTGCTTTCGTCAGGAATAAATAGAGTTGGTCTTGTATAGTATGGGTTTCATTGGAAAGTTGGTGGTTTTGATGTTAAGTTTGCTTGTTTACATTTTTCATAATAAATAATTAACATTATATTCATAATATGATCAACGTGAGTAAGGCACCTTTTAATGAGAGAAAGATAGACTTTGTATATCTGTGTGTGCGTGTGCGTGTGTGTGTGTGAGAGAGAGAGAGAGAGAGAGAGAGAGAGAGAGAAAGAGTGAGATAGAGAATCAGGCAAAAGGAAATTTTATACTTCACTAACCTTTAGGATAAAAAACGTTTATATTTGTCAGTCTGTAGATTGATTTGTTTTTTTTACGGTTTATCAACCTTTTGCAGGTTATTTAACGCCTGCAAATAGTTTAATTTTTTAATTCTAAGAATGTTTTGGAGGTAATAATTATTTATTGATACAAGTCATGCTTTTTAACCCATAGTTGGGGGTGGATATGAGGCGAATTCATACTTTTTCCAATAGTATTTGCGCGATAGTGAACCTATTGAAACCGATTGGAACTGGATATCGTCCACACCCCCGATTTCCAATTCCGAGCCGTTATCCATTACATCTAAGCTTACAGCACCTGGTATTCCCAAGCGGTCACCCATCTAGGTACTAAAGGCTAAACGTTGCTTAACTTCGGTGATCGTACCAGAACCGGTATTTCGACGTGATATCGCCTTTAGAGATTACACGACATATATATCATGACCGCGAAAATGTTTCCAGTGTATCACGATCGTCTAAATACAGCAAAGTAATTCATTCATACGAACAGTGTTGTATAGGAATCAATTGTGGCTTCCGACACCTGGGTCTGCACACAGATCACCAAATAGCAAACACAATCGATGCCATTTTGAATAATTAGGTCACGTGATCTAAAAGAAAATGTATATATGGGAATTAGTGTAGCGTCTAAACGATCACCATTTCTACTCTATCCTCTATTACTATACGGATCACCATTTCTATTCTATCCTCTGTTACTTTACGGATCACTATTTCTACTCTTTCCTCTATTACTATACGGATCACCATTTCTGTTCTGTCCTCTATTACTATACGGATCACCATTTCTGTTCTGTCCTCTATTACTATACGGATCACCATTTCTGTTCTGTCCTCTATTACTATACGGATCACCATTTCTGTTCTGTCCTCTATTACTATGCGGATCACCATTTCTGTTCTGTCCTCTATTCTGTCCTCTGTTACTTTACGGATCACTATTACGGATCACTATTTACTCTATCCTCTATTACTATACGGATCACCATTTCTGTTCTGTCCTCTATTACTATACGGATCACCATTTCTGTTCTGTCCTCTATTACTATACGGATCACCATTTCTATTCTATCCTCTGTTACTTTACGGATCACTCTTTCTATTCTATCCTCTATTACTATTCGGATTATTATTCGGTGGTTACTCTTCACGCGAGTATTATCGAGCAAGTACTATTTGTGCGAGTGTTATTCGCAGGGGTCTCACACCAGTATTGTTCAACCGCGTTACTATAGTTGTATCTGCGATTACAAAGTCTCTACTACAACGAGCATTACAAAAGTGAGAACGAGTATTCGTTGATATCACAAAAGTGACAACTAGTGTTCGTTGACATTACGAAAAATAGATAATGAATAAGAATTTGAAATGGATACACATTCATTGGTCATGAAATACATTTTTATTGGAAGAGTGAAGCTACTTAAAAATTCTTCTTCGAAAGCAATTCTTCAATTGTTTTTTTTTTAAATTTGTTGACGAAAAGTAAAACGTAATTTCATTTCTATTGATCCAGTTCTTCAATAAAATGGGTTAAATACTAGTTAATGAATTAGATTTCGATTTGAAGCCAATTAAAGTTCTTCAACATTTAGGTTAATTGTTTTTAATTGTTTCCTTTGTCACTTTAATGCACATTTTCATATTCACACACAAATGATTGCTTCACTATTTTTTTTAATAAATTTATAATTTGAAGAAGAACCAGTAAAACATCTGTATAATTCGAGAAATAATCTGCTCATTAGGAGATTCAGGTCAGGGGAATCTATTTTATCTTCTATTTGTCTCAAGGGTAAAGTAATGGACAGAGATGTAAAATTCGTTTATTGATGTCACAGACAATTGCTCTGCGCATATATAAGCTCAGATGTGAACATATAGGGACTGATAATTTGAATAGTATATAGTGGGCTCTCCCATCGTATTCGACGTATGAGGGCCAAGCAGATCAGTTCCTAGGAACCAACACCCAGACACCAGCACATATATTTTGATTATAGTGATGAAGGCTTTGTGCAGAACCAACCACATTTTTTTGAAGAACTGGATACAGAGAACTGGTGCACTGCAAGCTACAAGGTCCCCAAACGTCCTTACGCAGGTTTTGAATTCAGAGTTGTCCTTCTTCTAGACTAGTTGCCATCCAAGGCGAGAGAACCCAGTCTATCTTATCCATAGCTGGAAGGAGAAGAAGAGGATTAATACCTTTTCCAAGAGTATTAGCACGTAAGTGACTGTAATGGTTTCGATTATATACTCCATCACAAACGAATAGGAACAAGCTTCCTGCTTGAACACACAATCAACATCTACCAAGTGTCCCAATAAATAGGATTCAAGATAAACCTTTCCAAAACAGAAACTATTGTAGTGCTAAACAAAGTATCAGTAGCAGCCCTTAAACACAGTAGCAATAGCAGCCCTTAATAAACCTTTTATCAGCATCAACTCTGGAGTATAAAAACACGTGAACCCTTAAATTAACTCGCTCTTTCGCGTTTTCCTCTTTCGAATTATGTGACATGAACTTTCCACGCTGAAGCTAAAAGGGATGTGAACGCTTCACCCACAAACACATCAACACAGTAAGTCTCACTCAAATATATTTAGTAACATTTCGTGCATACAATTTACTTCTAGCAAAAGAAACTCTTGTTTTAAACTTTGCTTTTGTCTATTTTGTTTAATAAATATTATCTTGCATTGCAAATCAATTAGTCTGTTATTTTGTGCATGTACCCTTTTACATCACAATTATTTTATGTGCTATAAAATATTCTCGTAAGAAACCTTACACATTCATTATCGAAGTAGCTAACACACTAAACTATGATCTGGAATTGTAATGAAATCCGTGAAGATGTAGAGCTACTAAACACTAAACGCATCAAATACTTATGTGGATGAGCATTTATAACAAATTTATGGTCTGTAACTCCTGTTTATTTCAAGTTCCGTGACAAAATCTAGAGACGGATATGCAATGTAATTGGCCCTGATCTGGCATCTCGTCTGCAGCCACTCTCTGACAGACGTGCCATCGGCTCCCTCTGTCTTTTTTACAAATACTTTCTCGGTAACTGCACGGATAAGCTGCTTTCGCTGGTTCCCAAAATTCAGGAATTTAAGCGTTCTACTAGGCGCGCATCTCGCTCACACCCATTCACTGTTGAAACTGTTAAATGTAGCTGTCTCTTCTACACCAATAGCTTTATGTCTCGCACTTCTCGCCTGTGGAACTCCTTTCTTTTTTCTTGTTTCCCTTATAGCTATAATCTCCAACTATTCAAATGTAATCTCAACAGACGTCTCCAGATGCCTCGATCTATCCCCTATCTTTCTCTTCATCTTTTCTTCTATCACTCCTCTTTGCTCTCGCTCTCTCTGTAACCCCTTGAGTGCTAGTGGCTTTCTAACACAGAATATGCTGCGCCTATTAAAGCAAATTAAAAAAAACCAAAACATTTACCTAAAAATACGTATCATGGTCTTAAATAGCCTCGTCAAATCAATACTTTTATATGAATGCCATGCATGGTACCAAACCCGTTCAGAAATATCTAAATTGTTATCTGTATATAACCGCTTTCGCAGAACAATGATTGGAATATCTTCCAGTGAATAAAGCCTGTAAGTTTATGCACTCGTCTTCAAACTTTGTGAACTGGCACTAACCAAACAAAGAACTGTACCAAATACACCACTTGAGGACTTTTAACAAGAGCAGCAACTAAACTGGTTTTCGCATGTAACTCGAAGAGAAAATAATAACCTTATCTAGATATTAACATTCCTCATTATTTCAGACAAATTATTAGGAAGGAAACACCAATAAGTACTGGAAAGAGCAATAACAGCTACTGGGCTTTAAGAACCCATTCATCGAAAAAAAAAAACTGTTTTATGACAAAGAGTGTCTCTTCAGGATGTAGGCGATCGCAGCTCTCCACAATTTCCTGTCCTTGTAATTCTTAATAAATTTTGTCTAAATCTTGCTCCTCCATTTGTTTACTTAAAATCGTTCTGCAGGTTATGCATTGTTTTCCTCTGTCCATCTTGTCTTCAATCTGTCCTGTGAGTGTCAAATTTACCAAGCCCTCCTTCCTCGTTATGTGTCCTAGAATTTTCAATTTTCACCTCCAGATAGAAGACGGCGATTGACGTTGCATTTCAATTTTTGAAGATTGTCGATGGCAGGGAAGCAAGAAACCAGAAGATAGTTCCACAGGTGAGAAGTGTAAGAAAAGAAACTATTAGAATAGAAATTACGGTTGCATCTTGCTATTTTAACACTTCGTCGATTAAAAATTTCTCGACCAAACCCACTTCTCAAAATCAGTAGTTAACACTTCCGCTGCGGTCGGACGTATTTATACGTGTTTACGAAACTAGATTCTCTGCTGTCGACGTATAAATACGCTTACAAGACATTGTAAATGTCCGCCTCTGGAATTTAGTGCTATTTCCAAACAAGTGTATACATATAGTAGTGTACAATACGACTTGTTTTGTGGCGTATTTTTATTATATTGTCTGTTGGGAGGTAACGCCTAACTTTTTATTGTAGAGTATCCAATCAAAGCTCCGCGTCCTGGGTATGACGATAAACTATATCCGCGTCCTGGGTAAGACGATAAACTACATCTGAGTATCCAATCAAAGCTCCGCGTCCTGGGTATGACGATAAACTATATCCGCGTCCTGGGTAATACGATAAACTACATCTGACAGAAAGGCCTGTGTTCAGGAGGTTTTGAGGAGCGTGGAACTATCTCTTAATTGCTGGTGTTCCCAGGTCCACCCTGACCCGGGGTGGTAGCACCTGTTAGGTTCCCAGCTATGGGCAAATAGTTAACACCCAAACTTGGGTCAAAATAGGATGAAAGTGTAAAAATAGGTTTTAATACTAGAAATATTTTATAAAAAAATATTACCAGCAATACATTATTTCCAACAATACATTTTTGAAAAAAGAAAAAAGATATTACCAGCAATATCTTTTTTGAAAAAGAAAATAACCAGCAATAAAAATTTTGTCGGCATTAAATAACCCACTGATGTTGATATGCCGTAAACCAAACCAAACCAAACCAGTCAAAAAAAAAAACAAAAAAAAAAAAAACAGCAGCGTCTGTGAGAAATCTTCGACTGGATTTCCCATGTTTTTTTCCAAATCGGGCCAGCACAGCCAGATACAACAATCCATCAATGAAAGTGTCAAATGCATAATTACTGATGCTGATAAATTTGATTGACTGAGTAGTCTTTTTAAACATTCTAAGCTCTCGGTACAAGAAGCACACGTTATTTTCTTCGATTTATTTAATTTCACAGGAATAATAAACGAGAATTTCTCGGGGTAAAAAACTTAGCGTCTTTATATTTTT